CAGGTGAGCACCGACACATGGGTCGGGAGCTACGCGGCTACAGCGGAGGCCTTTGCAAAGGACAGCCATGGGGAAACGATTTGGATTTAGCATGATCTATATTAATGGAAATGTGGATTGAAGAAGTATCATGATCTTAGAAAATGATAAATACCTCCACATTTATCTTTGGATTAACATCATTTATCTATGATCTCTAAAGAACATGTGGAGGTATAATGATGTTTTTTTTGGATTGACCAATTGACCGCAATTGCTGGTCATGTTCTATGTATGAAATATGATGCTCAACCATCCAAAATTAAGGAACCATTTGGGGGATTTCATCTGGAAAATGATGTGGAACTGTGGAACTTGGAAAAAATAAGCGGTTTCTGTTGGAGTGGTGCGGGATTTCACCAATGGACCAATCGAAAGTTTTTTGTTTGGGAAGTGCTGGGGGTCAACCCATTTTGTGAACCAGGTTGCTAATAGGGAAGGGCACCCATCTTAGATCACTCTTTTGGGGTATATTTTCTACCAATCGTTAGAGCTTGATTCATGATTCATCACCATTCTCAATAGATAAATCGGATTTTACATCGGCTAGAAGTTGGGAATTTCCATAGCCTAGCTAGGGGCCACATTGTCGATGGATGATCCCGGGCATGGAAAATCACCAGCTTCAATAGGTAAATCAAAGGCTTAAATAGGATATGTTCAATAGCAAACTGTTAAATCAATTATAAATGGAGGTTTTAATGAGAACATCATCTGCAAATGGGCAACTATTTCTATGGGCCATGTTCAATAGCAAACTGGCAGTCATTACCAGAGGGTAGATATACAAAATATACACAGTCGTTTGTCGTTTGAATCCGATATGCTCAGGGAAGCTGGTCAACCCATTACCACAGTGACCAGCTCCAATTTAAGCTGGAAAAAAAACTGGAATAGCGGATGTCTAGCTATATAAAGCGCCGAGAATGCATTGATGTGGTGCACACAAAACCGAGCCTAAACTGGGCATGGTGGCCGATCCCTGTAGGGGAGGATCCTTGGAGCCATAACGAAAGTGGGGACATGATCACAACTCGACCTACTGGCAAGAAACTTCAGAAAAGAAACGGGCCATTCTAGGTAGAAGAATCAGAGGATTTTGCTTAGCCCACAGGTTTATGCGTGTGACATTCTTGCAAGCCCAACCTACTCTGTAGTATCTCTTCAAAAATAAATGGGATATCTTATTTTGTTCATTCTTATTCTCCATTTTGATAGATATCCCTTTGTTTTGTACATCTTGAATGGGTATACTGTATACTCTCCCGTCATCAGACATAGCTGGAACATCCTCTCCAGTTCCCGGAGGGTATCTCTTTGCACAGTGGGGATATCTCTCAACTATCTCATACCTGAAAGATGTATATGATTGTATATGTATATATAATATATACTGTAAATGTATCATTATGTATGCGCATCATTGTCATTATGATCTTTTCTTTCACCATTAAACATACCATTATTACATTAATTTATATTATGGTCGGATGATTAAGATCTAAACATACCTAAGTTATGCCAGATGATTAAGATCCATAAAAGTAGGAGTTGGTTGTCAGTGCCACCCAGGAGAATCCCCAGATTGCCGCCGTTGATTTGGGTGCCATGGGTATCTTGGCGGTTGTGAAGGTATTTTACTGCTGTATGTACCTATGATTATGTGCAAATAACACTGTAATACATTATATATACACATACGTAATCAATATACATAATATATATATATATGTATAGTAGGGTCTTGAATTAAGTCGCATCTTCTTGTTGAAGTCGCATCTTGGTTGGCGCCTGCCATACAAAACACAGTTGTACTCAAATCTTGTGATTTGATATTTGTACTGGATCATACATGATTGCCGTTTTACCAGCGCGTCAGCTCGCTTTTTCCATGGTTGACCTAGTTCCATAGTTGTTTTTTTCCTCGTGCAGGTTTTTGCCCAAGATAGCGAAGCTATTGGGGTTATTACTTCAAGTACAGGCAGAGTTGCATGTTTGCCTAGTGTTTTTCACAGCGCCTGCCACACAAGATATGCCTTTAGCGGCGTGATGTGAGTTATGTCGACAACTTGTATATAATACTGTATATATATATATATGTATAGATGCGAATTTAGGTTGAGATTGAAGATCTGATGGCGTTTGCGACTTCCACAGAACTTCATTTTGTGTGCGTGTGTATGTATATACACACAGTGTTATGTATATATAATAGTTGTTGTATCTATATATATATATATACATACATATTAATATATGTGATATGATGTGATATGATATGATATGACATGATATATGATTTTTGATTTATGATATATGTATAGGAATAATAATACACTTGCGGCATTGCAGGTTGTTTCCGCAGTTTTCTTTCTGCCAGGCCGTTTTAGAGGCAATTTTGGATCACCATGATTTGGTTTAGGTTTCCGGTGAACAAGCACCAAACATAACTAGTTAATGATATATATATATATATATATATCAGCTTTATTGTGGACATATATGTACATATACATATACATATACATATATACATATTTACATATATACATATATACATATATACATATATACATATATACATATATACATATATACATATATACATATACACATATACACATATATACATATATACATATACATATACACATATACATATACATATACACATACATATAGATATAGATATACATACACACATACATACATACATACATACAAATATACATATATTATACCTATATACATATATATATATATACACATATATACATATAATTATACATAAATACATATATACATATATACATACATATATATATATACATGTGCAAGCACGTGTAAACAATCTTGAAAACAAACGAAGAATGTGTTGAATATTATTGAACCAATTGGAGACTTTCCAGCGTCTGTGTCCACATGAGAGATCCAATCACGCAAAGGTTAAACAGAATTCACAACTTGCAAGTTACCCAGGTACAGGAAGTGCCCCCAGCGATAGTGCATTAGGTAATCTACTTTTCAAGGTTGGTTTCAACTCTGCAAATTCTACAATTTATGTCAAAAATGTCGATACAAATCATTTATAAGTGTATGTATATATATATATATATGTATATATATATGTATATATATATGTATATACATGTATACATATATTAAATACTTGCAATTAGACCTATATGCTGGTTATTGGTCATCACTGTTTTTGCCAAGAAACACGTCAGACACGACTCGGCCTGAGGATACAGTGGCGAGGAGTCGATCTACTTGGCGCAAGCGACCATGGATCTGGGGATCTCTGGCTGCGAACAGCGATCTGGGGGATTTTACTTGCTGGTACCCCTAGTTATCATCCATTGATAGATGGATTTTCCATGACATAAACCATCCAGCGAGCTTGGGGTACCCCATGACTTAGGAAACCTCCAACCATATCTGGTTGGTGGTTTGGATCATTTTTTATTTTTCCATTTAGTTGGGAATAGTAATCCCAACTGATGAACTCATATTTTTCAGAGGGGTAGGTATACCACCAACCAGACTAGCTGGCTAGCTGGATCCTGATGAGCTGGGACTGGGATATGGTCAAGTTGGGCCAAAATAGTAGGGACGTGCGATCTTGGATCATTCATCCCCCCAATGGTCCCAAATGTGTGTAAATGCCCTACAATCAAATCCCCTACAATCCCCTACAATCCCCTACAAAAAAGGCTTCTGTGGGATGTTTAACCTTGGGATGGAATTCGTCTGTTACAGGTGAAGAATCTCCACCCGTTTTTTTTTTTTTAGCGCCCGATCAGCTTCACAAGTCAAGTCATCTCGGTAGAAAAATGGGTTGATTATTACTGATTATCCCTCTCGATTTTTGTTTGTTTGTCTGGGATGGGGCCGCTTGAATCGCCTTTCAATGCGAATCTTGAGGCAAGATGACAGCGGTTTGGCCTTGGACTTTTACAAAAGTTGCTTGCCATCAGCATGGCTGTTTGGTGTTTGGGTTTAATTAATTTGGTGGTTGTGAAAAAATTGGGGACCCCAAGTTAATCAGCCAAGTTGGGCAGTTTCAAGGTGGAAACCAATGCTTTGGGGTGGATGATTTCTCTCACTTGTCAGGGCATTCAAAAATGTAGTACTGGTATTTAACACAATTCAACATATTCAAACGAATTGAGAACATACCCCGCAAAAAAACTGGATCTGGAACAGGGGAAATCCCCTTTGACCACCTGGCATTTCAGATGACGAGCAGACCCAGAAAAACTGTGGAAGGCCTCAGCTGGGTCAACTGCACGTTGCTGGTGAAGGGTTGGTTTGGCTGTCTTGAGCCAGTGGAGGTACAGATGTTTTACCCTCTGGTAAACTAACATAGCTATTGAAAATTGCCATTTATAGTGGATTTACACACTAAAAATGGTGATTTTCAACAGCTATGTTAGTTTACCAGAGCATAACTAGGGACCGCTAAAGCTGAAGGGGCAAGGAGAGCACCATCCGACACGTGGCTGAGGTTACAACACGAGCCACCACAATCCTAAGAAGTACTTCGACAGCCTCTCCGATGACGCTGGGACAATGCAGGGGGACGATAAGGCATGAGTTGTATTGAGCAACTGGTGATAGTGGAAGCAAGTTAGACAGAGGAGTACGAGTAAGAAAGGATATATATATATATAGTATTATATAATGTTATTATATATATATATAAATTTACCTGCATACATATATGTAGAGATTCATTTCCGAATACTGCAATTCCGTTCTCCGAGAATGGTCGATCTTTTGGTGGGTGTGCACGGCATTTTTAAGTTACATGTGGTTGCATTTTCATAAAAGATGCAGGCATCTTCCAAAACCATGATTCAGGACACAAAACAGTCACGCTTGAGTTGGTATGTATATGTATATGTATATATATATATATATACAGATAGGTGATTATAGGTGTGTAGGGGTCCCGCAAAAAAATACTTTACTTCGTGTGATTCCCACCATGACATTTATACATGTTGTTACTCGCAAATCTTCTGGCATTCTATCTGACATATCTTCTGGCATTCTATCTGGCATATGTTCTGGCATATCTTCTGGCATTCTATCTGGCAAATCTTCTGGCATTCTATCTGGCATATCTTCTGGCATATATTCTGGCAAATCTTCTGGCATTCTATCTGGCATATCTTCTGGCATTCTATCTGACATATCTTCTGGCATTCTATCTGGCATTTCTTCTGGCATATATTCTGACATATCTTCTGGCATTCTATCTGGCATATCTTCTGGCATATCTTCTGGCATTCTATCTTGCATATCTTCTGGCATATGTTCTGGCATATCTTCTGGCATTCTATCTGGCATATCTTCTGGCATTCTATCTGACATATCTTCTGGCATTCTATCTGGCATTTCTTCTGGCATATATTCTGACATATCTTCTGGCATTCTATCTGGCATATCTTCTGGCATATCTTATGGCATTTTATCTGGCATATCTTCTGGCATCTCTTCTGGCATTCTATCTGGCCGTTGAGGTTCAGCGGTGCACACTGAGCTGGGCAGGTCCCAGGTTGAGGTCCAGCGGTGCACACTGAGCTGGGCAGGTCCCAGGTTGAGGTCAAGCGGTGCACACTGAGCTGGGCAGGTCCCCGGTTGAGGTCCAGCGGTGCACACTGAGCTGGGCAGGTCCCAGGTTGAGGTCCAGCGGTGCACACTGAGCTGGGACGGTCCCAGGTTGAGGTCCAGCGGTGCACACTGAGCTGGGAAGTTGGCAAAGAGCTTGGCGAAGAGAGTTGGCAAAGAGCTTGGCGAAGAGTTGGCAAGGCGGAAGTGGAGGTGGAAGTTGATGCAGACATGGTCGAGGAGAAACTAGAGGAGGAGGAGGAGGACGAGGAGGAGGAGGAGGAGGACAGCTAGCCGAGGAGGAGGAGGAGGAGGAGAACAACTGAGATAAAATCTAACAACCCTCACCTGGCAGGTGGGGAATGAACACATGAATTTGTTTCAAGGACGTCATTATATAATTACCTTAGAATGGCCAGGTCTCCAACTGTTGCAAAATGCTACGTCTTGTAATACCTAGCGACCACTCAATATTTGCACGAATTTAGTTGAGAAGCCAAAGCATGTGGGGTGACAATTTTTGGACATACTTGGTACCCAGTTTGCTGCTGATCAGAATCCCCATCGTTCCCGTGAGTTGTTAGGCCATATCCCATGTTCTCTCCTTCAATCCGCATGTTTTTTTTTTTTTTTTCCGGTGCTGGTTGTTTTCCGGATACGGTGCTGGTCATGGTTTGCCTCTCATTCTTCCCAACTGGGGTGTGCTTACTATCTGGCTGCAGGCGATGCATAGCCCGATATTTTTTTGCAACTGTTGTGTATCTTAGCATTAAAAAATGATAACCCCAATTATGTAATCAAATATCAAATTATCATCTTGATATTTGATATGTGATAATAACCCCATATATGATATATCAACATATATATATATATATACATATATATATATATTATAATTATATATATATATGTATATATCATATATCATATTGGAACCGCATACTTCTGACGTTTTTTTTCGTCATTGGCCCAGTATCCCATGACGGCCCAGTGGCGTTGCGTTAAGCGCTTGCGCGCGCCTTGAGGTGGATCCATCGGAATTGGCCTTGTGTAGTGACACGGATTTCAGCAACCGCCAGCGCATGAATGCGTATGCCAGGTGGGGAAGACTGGGAAAACACCATGTTTTGGATCAACGAAAAACATGACTGGGTTAATCTGGATCATGACATATCATGACTATGGTTAGAATCCAATTGAATAAGCCGGGATGAGAATGATGAGACTAAACATAACTATAGGTTCGAATCCAAATAATTAAACCGTTTGGGGTTGAGGTTAAAGAGAATCCAGGGTTGACATGTTTGATTTTCTGTAACTCCCATGGCCGTGTACGACTTTTCACAGTGAACATATCAAAAAATAAGTGTGTCGATCGTTTTTGATAGAAACGGTGAGGATTTATAATATATTTGAATGAATTGAATCTGAATTGGTGGTGTGGAGCATCTTTTATTTTCCATAATATATGGGATAATGATTCCCATTGACTAATATTTTTCAGAGGGGTTGAAACCACCAACCAGTGGAGCATTGCTGAAACATATAGCTATTGGAAGCAGGCTTCACTGCTTAGCTCAATTTTCATCGGTTCTGCAATGACTTGATCTAAGTCGGAACATCACCAGTGATTTGTTCAGTGGGATGTACATGAATATATAAAGATTCTATGTATATATATATAATATGTGTGTTATATATGATTGGATCATGGACATATCATGATTGGACTAACATGGACTATCTATCTATACCTATATCGATTTTTCAATATTATTTTTAATAAATAATATGGCAGTGTGTCAAAACCTTGTACCCCTTCTGTTCACATCAAAATAGCTGGTAAATGGATGTTCATCCCACTAAAACTGGTATTAATAGGTATTGATCCATACCCATATATGTATATATATATATATAATACGATTGGAATTCACCAGAATATCACAAGGATGTATCACCCCAGAGCCTTTGCTCAGCCTTTGCTCAGGTTCTCCGGAGACTAGGATGGAATGGTGCAGCAATCTGATGGATCCTACATCGCCAAGCCGCTTGGACCACGAAACGCTCGGGCTATGGCGATGGCCTGAGAACTATGGGGATCCAACTGATCATTGATATACTGCTTGGTGGTTTGGAACATGACATTTTCCATTCAGTTGGGAATGAAAAATCATCCCAAAATGACTTTCACTCCATCATTTTTCAGAGGGGTAGGTATACCAAAAACCAGTATTTTACATAATTTTACTATGATGTAACATGATATATGATGATATTATGTCTATCATTAACCATAACTGATCTAACAATCCAAAATGGCATCAAAAGGGATAGAACCACCATACGGATCACGGATTCAACCCCTCCAACTGCTTCGTGGCTAGAGAGTTCTCCTCTCACCTGGGGAACCCATTGGGAAACTGCAGAAACCCCACAATGGAATGCATAATCTTAATTCATCTTACATATAGAATTGGCCAAAAAGTTAGAAAACAAGAAGTCAATTCCTATGAAACTATAATTTAAATGTTAATTATGTTGCTATCTTTTTGGACACTAATAGAGATCCCTTAAATATGCTGCATTTTTTTTCTGTTTATCCCCATGTCACCATGTCTCTTGGCATATTCCCCAATCGCTCCAAATAAAACTCAGCAAATGTGCGGGCCGTTTAATTCTTACAAGAATTGAGCAGAGGATTTTTTTCGCTTTTCTTTCCAACGGATCCAACAGGTTCATCAAATTCTTATCAAAATTCCCCAAAATGTCAGTTTCATCCGGTCCATTCTTAGATTCACCGAGACGACTAAAAACCCACCGTTTCAACGACCGGCACCGAGACAAGAACGCCAGGTGTCCGGATGGACGTTGGTGGCCTGCCCCCGCGTGTCGCAGTGACCTGACGAAGTGCATTCCAACCTTCACCGCCTCACCTGGCTGGAAGCTCCAGGCCATGATGCAGTGGACGCTTGGGATGAGTTGATGGGTTCCGATCTTGAGGGTGAACGCAGCCAGCAGCCAGTATCTTTGTGGGATATATGATACCTGTATGCATACATATCATATATATATATATATATTATATATATATATATTTGGATGGGTCAACAAGCATGTGATTTGTTGAGATGTTTGTAGGGAGATCGGAAATATAGGATGGGGAACTGTTGGCACATGTGTACTAACCAGCAAACATTAAACGTAGGGATTTAAATAATACAGGATGGGTCAAGTCAACTACTGCCCGAGGCTGGGCCTTTGGTGATTTGCGCACTGGAACTTCGGATTTTCCCATTTTTTTTACATCTCAAATCGCCATGGTTTTTTTCAGGAGATTTCCCAGCTGCTGTGATTCTTTGGCTAAACTTTAGCACATTAATCCCTTTCCGGCCAGAGGAGGGATCAGGAGTCGCCCTTTTTCTTGGCTTATATGTAACGGATTCTTCACTTTTGTGGAGGACATACACCCGCTTTCAATGACGAGTTGAGTTTGCATGTTGCGAAGAACCATCAAACCATATCAAACCACCACCTTGTCACCTTGTCACCACCTTGTCATATCGCATCTGAGGACTGCTGCCTATGGTTTTCCAGCAGCAATTTCTATTTCAAATGTGTGGGCCACTGGGTGAAGTCTCATGGGCGCGGTGCTTGAAAAGCGCTGCGAAGGACCGTGGTTTCAACCTCAACCTTTTTTTGATCCTTCAGCAGCGCCTGAAATCATCTGAGCAGATTTTGTTCCCTTGAAATAGTATGAAGAGATGGTGTTTGAACTGTATTTGACTCAATCCACGGTGCCTCGTTTCGACTCGGCATCTGACATTTTTAGCCCATTTTTAGCGTCCAATCTAATCATAGTCTTTCCAGCACTTTCACCTGATTTGGAAGCTCCATAGATCCGATTCATCAACGACTCCATCGGGGTTCACAGATCGACGCGGTAGACCTGTTTTTCGACGTAGGGACTGGTAAACGACGCAGGGAATGGGCCATAAAATCAGGGACTGGTAAACTCAGTACCATAATGCTCCCAGTTCATCATGCTTTCTACCATCCATTTCTGATAAAATTAGGGATGGTTAATCCTATTGAGTTTACCTTACCAACATGAACGTTGGGTCACTAAGAGCTCCACATTTCAATGTCAGCAACATCGCACTATGATGGAAATAAGACTGTGGATGTAAAGTTCTGGCCATTAGGGGCTCAAAATGATCAACATGTCTCATCACCAAGAAAAGGATTAGAGGGATAGCATGGGATAGCATGGGATAGCGGGAAAACCCTCCATTGCCTTGACAAAGCTATGGTAATGATTCGCCAATTTTTTTTTTTGGGGGGGTAAATGCAGCTCATTTTTTGCCGGTGTCATCCAACATCATCCAACATCATCGCTGGGCCCGCTGGGCAATCCCCAAAGTCCCGGCCTAGGGCAACTTTGAGAAGCACGTTCGCAGTTTTCGCGCGCTCCACTACTGGTGGGTGGCTGGATTGGGTCTATAGCTGGAGCCAAGGATGTGGGACAGTGACGATCGCCATGTTTTTTTCGGTTGGCGAAGTGTAAAGCCCAAACAGATAGAAAAGTAACAGCCTACTACTAGATATTGCTAAAAGGATCCATGGTGCTGGTATATATGCTAACATAAAGGGGGTATATTGATGGGATCCATGTTACATCATGTTACCATATATACCATACATGGATCCTATGGGATTGCTAAAAGGATCCTCCGGGGCGCGTTGTGACAGGAGACAGGAGGGCCGGAGGGCCTCAGCCCTGTTAAGTTGATTGTTCACTGGTTGGGGGTTGCACATTTTTTTTAGAAATATATACATTTATAATATTTTATAATCATTTATACCCATTTATATAATATAATATAATGATATATTATACAAATGACATATACTAATATACTAATTGATATATTACATACTGTATGTTATATTCAAATATATTAAACATGAAACATTATCACCAAAACCAAAACATCACAATTTGCTGGAACCACCCAAAATCCAAAAACTTCTGTCTCATCAAACAAGCTCCGTTTGAGAGTTGGCACAGTACTCCGGTTGATGATCGTGATGGTACTTTGTGCAAGCTTTGTAGTACGAAGTAGTACTGGGAAGTACTTTGTGCAAGTTTTGTAGTACGAAGTAGTACCGGGAAGTACTTTGTGCAAGCTTTGTAGTACGAAGTAGTACTGGGAAGTACTTTGTGCAAGCTTTGTAGTACGAAGTAATACTGGGAAGTACTTTGTGGAAGCTTTGTAGGACGAAGTAATACTGGGAAGTACTTTTGTGGAAGCTTTGTAGAACGAAGTAGTACCGGGAAGTACTTTGTGCAAACTTTGTAATACGAAGTAGTACTGGGAAGTACTTTGTGCAAGTTTTGTGGTACAGTAAGGGCTTTGTGCAAGTTTTGTAGTACACAGGATGGATTTTGTTAGCAAGGTACAGACATGTCAAGCGAGAGAGAGAAAGAGAGAGAGATGCCAAGAGAAAGACATGAGAATGAAAAACTACCTCGAGACAAAGGAGATGTAAAGACAGAAGGTCTCAAAGGAAACCAGTTTTAATAGTAATAGAAAGAGGTCTCAACAAAGTCAAAACAAACGGATACAAGAACAAAAATGTAGCTTGTCCCCCAGAAACCAAGGAAACCAATATTACGTCCCCTGCCCCTGACCATATGTGTATGTATATGTATATATACATACATATTTGGGGTCAACATATAGAACCACAGCTTGATGAGTTTGTAATAGAAAAGCTCCGATAAAATGACAATAAATTATGGGTAGAGCAGCTTCAGACACACAATAAAATATCAATATTGTATGTTTACCTCCCAATACACATATATAAGACATATATAATACATATAAGACATAATGAATTAAACCCAGTTGCACACCATCCCCAAATAGCCGAACTTTTCAGATTAGTGAAATATTGTAATTTACTCAGATATATTAATAGTAACCATTAATAATAACCATAATACCATGAAAATAGTATTATTAACCATATATTAACCATGGTTAGTGAATCCCCCCCCGGAAAGCGTTGCTTTCTCCATTCCTTGTTGGGTCCAGGTTCCTGATTCGACTTTTGTGGAGATGTTGCCACAACCGGTAGTTTTTCCTCGACATATCGCCAGTGAATGGGAAACTCGGCTGAACGTGATCTGATTGGAACATCTTAACCGTAACCAATAGGCGTTTCCGGTAAGTCTCCCTCAAGCCAATGATGAAAGGCTCTGGTTTTCAACAACTGCTGGGTTTAAAGATTATTCTCATTTCAACAATTTTTTGGGTGGTCAAAATCGAAGACCGTTAGCCCGTTAGCAGATAGTTAGCATTTACGGTTATTTCAGGCAGATTCTTGATATATCATGATATATCTAACCCCATATAAGTCCATCAGATTTCGGCAATTTGGAGTCATTTGGGGCACCCCCAATTTTCATTTGGTGCCCAGTTTGGGTTTCTGGATCTATGTTCCAAAAAACAAAAAAGGCCTCTGAAATCCCTACCGCACCGCAACTGAGACTGGTTCATTTGAGGTTTTCTCTGTTTTTTTGGGGATGGCTCACAGCAAAAAAACAGATAGAGATCCTTAGTGACAAGTTGGAGCAATGTGGTAAGGCCAATGTCAGAAACCATTTCGGGATTGTTTACTATTGGGTTTATCACATTACTACGCTATGGTCGTTTTACCACAACTTTTTCCTGCCCGGTCTCTGGGTCTCAATCTCCCACTGGTTGGGCCATGTTGGGCAAGGGCAAAAACATCGGCAGTGGCTGCTGAACCATTGTTATATATGGCACTATGATGTGCTACAATGTGGGTAAAACAATAAACAACCAGCCCCAAATCATTAAGTGACCGTGGTATAAACTATTCCCAGTCATGGGTGGTTTATGACACTGTTTTACCCACATTACATACTATTCAATATATTATCAATATATTGGGGATGAACATCATCCATGAATTGGCACAATTGGGTCCCAGTATCAAGGCTCTGGTGTTGCAAAGACTCACCCTTTTTTTTCAAGGCGAAACGCAGGATTTGGAACGGAGAAAAATATGCTGTTTTTTTGTTCAAGGACTTAAAGGACTGAGACTTAACGTTCTAATATGTTCTAACAATCATTCCTTGGAAAGGACCTGGGACCTATATACATGTTATTGGACTTAAAGATTTAGTGCCAAGTTTGATTGCTAATACTCTTTACTTTTGCTGTTTTCATGTCCATTGTTGATCTGTTCCATGGGACCTGTGCATCAACAATAAACCAAACGTGTAACAGTGGGTTAAACATCAGCAAACATATTTGTTTACAGCTGGCTATAAATCATTGCCTTGGGTATATATATATATACATAAACCTCTATAAATCTATAAAGACAAACATTAGAGTCTAATAGATGGAGATAAACATGTAAACACTATATGATATAAATCTTTATCCCTGGGTAAACACCACACTTCGAAGACGACATCAGAGGTTTTGGTACAGTCTCTCCGCCACTTCCGTAGGCAGAGGGCAACAAGAAGACAGGCAAAGTTTCGGCGGACTTGGGATATGGAGGAAACACAACACGGGGAATGGTATCAAACATCATAATGGTTGGAGAGTGTCCATGTAAAACCATGGTAAAACATGGTAAACAAGTTGACACAAGTTGACAAAGCGTCATTCATTTCAACAAGTCACACGTATCTATCCTTGTTCTTTTCAGTCCCAGTAAGAAAGGGTTGGTTTCAACAACCCAGTGGTCGACCGAAGGAGATGTCACCACAGTAAGGAGCACAGTATTTCCAATAATCCCACAGCTCATTCATATTCATCACCCCACTTGTATGGTCACAAATAAGTGTTGTTTATGCTACTAAACCACAAGGGTTTCCGCGGGGTGTTTAATATGAACAGGGCATGGGATTGTATCCAGTACAGTTGGTGAATCCCCACTACAGCTATTGTTACTTAGCTATATCATGCTATATCCTCGTATTATACGTAAACATTGTAATCATGTCCCATATGCTCCATGTATGGTATATTTACCTACATTTGGGTGATTATTAGGGCAAATGTAGGTAAATATACCAGCACCATGGAGCATATGGGTGTATTTTATTATATTATATTATCCCCGTGATATTCCCAGTTCTATTCTGGTCTATGTATACTTTTCATGTGGGGTAAACCCTAAACCCTAAACCCTCCCATCAACCAAGCATCCTCTCTTGGGGATGATCTATCATTGGGTTTGCCACATTGATCTTTATTATTCTAGTGTTATATACCATTAGTTATTAGTTATATACCATTCTATAGTGTGTATATGTACTATATATTAGATATATACATATATATATATGGTTGGTGGTTTGGAACATGAATTATATGTTTCCATTCAGTTGGGAATGGAAAATCATCCCAACAAAAAAAATCAGAGGGGTAGGTCAACCACCAACTAGCTATATATATTCCCATTATATATCATGAATTGATTACCCTCTGGTAAACGTTTACATAACTATGGAAAATCACCATGTTCAATGGGTAAAACCACTATTTCTATGGCCATGTTCAATAGCTACGTAACAAATTACCAGAGGGTACCCAGAACTTCCATTCCTCCTTATTTAATTTAAGGAGTTTTTTTTTAAAGGAATTCCACCTTAATTAAGGAGGAATTCCCTTAATTAAGGAGGAATTTTTCCTTAATTAAGGAATTCCACCTTAATTAAGGAGGAATTCTCCTTAATTAAGGTGTTTTTTTTTTGAAAATTCCTCCTTAATCCTTTTTTTTAAGGAGGATTTTTTCACTGTTTTTAGATACATCTTTGACATCATCATTGCATCAAGACCAACCTTTGGAGGTTGCTTCAAGGAGATGCAAGATCTCCTTTTGGTGTTTTGATTTCCTGCATGTACTGTTTCTGCATCGCATCTGCAGTTGATTTCTCAAGATGAATAGAGCTAAGAACACTGCTTCTGTTCAAGACCTTTGCACATGTTTGAAAGCAGAGGTGGCTTGTTTGGATCCCAAGGAGTACTTGGATGTTGAAATTGATCAAGTTTGCAAGCATTATCGAAAATTTCTGGGCTTGATGTTCCAGAAAACAATTCGACCATCCAAAGACTGCTTGAAGGAAGCTGCCTTGAAAGTCAACCCTCGCACTTTGAGTGACGAAGCGAAGAAGTGGTCTTCTGCAATTGTCGAATGTGTGCAACACATCAGAACAAAAGCAAAATGGTCAATTTCAAGTAAGAAATATGAGCCTTGGATGGGTAAGCTTGTGAAGATCTATCTGGAGTGCTCAGAATTCCATGGGAACCGGCAGAAAGGCAAGTTTGTTCAGAAAGCCATTGCCAAGCGAAGGCTCATGAGACAAAGTTCCAATGCGAGCTCCATCCCACAGTTGCCTGTGAATGAACCACTTTTGCAAAAATTTCCTCCAGGCCACAGCTCAGAAACATTGGATAGCCAAGAGCATCAATTGATAGAAGTGTCGAGTGAAGAGAGCCAAGCGAGTCCTAAGAAGCCTGTGAGTGTTGGAACCTGGATCGATTCTACTGCCATGGTGGTATGTCGCTTTGTGGATAGCAAGGTGGAGAAAGCTACTATGAGTGAAGGACCAAATGGCTTCGCCATTGCTGCTTTTGGTGAAAACAAATTTGAATCTGAAATTCCCAATGAATCTTTGAAGATCTATAGGCAATCTGCAGGTGGGAAAAAGCCTGCTGCAGTCTTGAAAAGGCCTGCTGCAGTCTTGAAAAGGCCTGCTGCAGTCTTGAAAAGGCCTGCTGCAATCTTGAAAAAGCGTGCTGCATGTGAAGCAGTACTTGGCACTTCTGAAGAACAGGATGTTGAAGCTCGGCCGGCTGTTGCAGTGGCTGATCCTGAACCTGCTGCTGTTGACTTGGCATCTCCTGAATATCGCTTGGAAGATTATCCTGCCAAAGGCAGTCGAAAGTATGGTGCTTTAGGTGTCAGACGAAATTTTGGAGACAAGAAACAAATCAAATCTTTCACTTTGAACAAAATTTCAAGAGAAGTTGGCTTGGATTTGGCCCAGAAATGCATTGCTGATTTGCACAATGGTGCTACTGAACAATCTGTGATTGAATTTTTGAATGAGGAAATTCGAAAGTGGAAGGTTGGACAGGATGTGGATTAGATTGGATGAAATTGCAAAAAAAATGGCTGCTGATTTCTGTTGCATGTTTCAAGGAGGTGTAAAATCTCCTGAGAGTTCTCAATAGGAAAATAGGAAATAGTCTTTCCACTTTTCTGTCTTAAGGAGGTGCAAGATCTCCTGACATTTGGAACTTGAGAGTTTACTGCCTGGGTGGATTTCAAAAATGGCTTATAGACTTTCATAGGATGTGGCTTTAATGTTTAATGTTGGGTTGGAATTCTGGATTTGAGAAGTTTTGTCTGGAATTTGGAATGTTGAAATTGTTTGGCATGGCAATTGCAGTGTTGAGAATGGATTTTGCAACTGAAGCTGCTTTGGCTTTCTAGCTCCTGTTTCAGTGCTCGATATTTTTTCTTGCTGTTGCTATGGGAGCTGGACAATCAAGTTCCTCTCGCAGGAGGCCTGGAGATGAGGAGATTGACCGTGTTTTGGAGCTGATCAGGCTACAAAACCAGGTGATCCAGGCATTGACACCTCATGTCAATGCCCAATCGCAACCTTTACCACCTCCAAATACACCTCCTCCAGCACCTATTCCAGGTGCCCCTCCAAGTTCTCATGACCCTCCAGGTGCTTCTCCAATGCCCCTTCCAATGCCCCCTCCAAGTACCCCAGCGCCTGCCACCTCGCCTTCTACAAGCTACTTGAGAACATTTCCTGGATGAAGGAATGATCTACACAGGCTGGAGTTTTCTGTGACTGTGGATTTGAAAGCATCTCATGTCAACCATGCACTGTGCAATATGTTCATCATCATGCCTCCTGATCAGGTCCTGCTGTAACCCCATATTCTCCTACATCACCTATTGATGCTGGAGAGCAAGCCGAAAAATCAAAAGAGGATGAGGATTCAAATGTAGATTGAGTCAATTGAGCTTCCCTGGAAAAATGATTGGAGATTATGGGCGCAAGCGACTCTTTAAGGAGGTGCCAGATCTCCTTGATAAACTAAATTTAAATTTAAGTAAAACA